CACACACACACACACACACACACACACTCATGTATTTGGTGCAATTAATAACAGCAAGGCAGCATCACTTCCCCCATTCCCTAATATGTTCTGTTTTTCCACACTAACATTGCTTGTGTACCCCTGTGGAAAGGAAATGCTAATTGAGATGAAGTGCCCGAGAGAAGAAACGGGCATTGAAAGGGTCAGTTAATTTTCAGGTAATTTGGTCTACTGAGGGAACTTAGTTTAGCTCTAAACAAATCTAAGTCTGTTTGAAGCCAAAACCAATCCTCTCTGGATTAATTGCCTCACTGAGTTTTCCTGTTTGCCTCAGCCCTTACCCTTCCTTGGTTAGCAAGTGTTGTGAACAAGACCATTGTGCATTAATGTTGCTTTGAAGACAAGAGGATGGCATTGCTCATCTGAAAGTGACCCTCAAGTCATAAAGAGGAAACATACGGGGAGGAATCACATCGTATTTGTTGGGAACGTCTTTCCTCAGTTGCTGCGTAAGAGAGAGAGAGAGAGAGTGAGCAATGAAGGGTGTATCTTTTGTCTCTGGCCAGGAGGAGCCGCCGCCAGGATATCAAGCATGGCGATCCCCTGAGGCAATGCCGTGGATTTAATGCCAAGGGTAAGTCTCTCCAGATCTGCCTGTGAATGGTCGTCAGTGTCTACTTGCCAACCAAATATTGGTTTGTTTGTTTTTTATAATGGGCACAGAAGTAATTTAGCAACCTGGGGAACAGACTGGCATAGAAGATGAAAAGGCACCTTTTTCTCACATCCCTTCCACAGGTTAGGATCTCTAGTGGTCAGCATTTTTGGAGGAAACAGGGCAAAGAAGGCAGTGAAGTAAAAGTTTAAAGCAAACTTAACTCTAAGGTCGATCTGCGCAACTCCAGTCAGATTTTCTCCTTAAATGAGGAGTAACAGGAAGGCTAACAAATCTAGGCTGTAAAAAACATTCACTAGATAACAGCAAAAAGATTGTAAAAACATTCATTCTTTGCACATCCTCTGGATGTTTGCAGCACACATCTGCAAAATTTATGCTTTAAAGAAAGATAATTGAAGTATGGGTACTCCTTGGTTAACCATGGTAATTGGGACTCTTGTCACTGAGTGACACAGTCATAAAGTGCCGTGGCACGACAAAACCGCGGTCCACTAAAGCGCACCCAATTAAAGCGCGTCGCTGATGTCATCAGCAGCGCGACAACGACCGCGGAGAAAAAAGGGCGCTTTAAAAAGCGCTTTTAAGGCAAGCCGATTCACGTAAAGGTAAGGGTTAGGTTTAGGGTTAGCTTAAGGGTTAGGTTTAGGGTTAGGGTTAGGTTTAGGGTTACGTTAAGCGTTAGGGTTAG